CATTCTGTAAATCTGAATTAGTTTAACATAAAAAAGTTTAAAAGGGAAGTAAATGATTAGGGAAGTCAGGATGATAAAATAGGTCTTGCAGTATCAAATTCTGAATGGAGTTAGGAGGGAGTCAGGTGGCCTGAGCAAAAGCATTGAAAATAGGGCTGGGGGTGGGGTGGGGTGGCGTGGCCCAGTCTCCTTCCTCAGCTCTGCTCCTAAGTAGCCCTGCCTTGAAATTCTAATGTCCCTCTATTTCAGTCTCTTTGTCCACAAAACAGAATTAAGAAGTGCTGGTCTCACAGAGATGGGGAGAACCATAGCTCCCACTGGGGCACTGGGAGGTAGACTCTAAGCTGGGGGGCTGGGGGGGGAGGCTGGGAGGGAGAAGAGAGAGGAAACCAGGCAAGGAAGAGGAAAAGACCAAACACAGAATCCCCACAGAGGCCAGGAAGAAAGGAGCCAAGTGAAGAACGAGTGGGACCTGGAGAGCTAGGGCCACAAAGACAGCAAAAAAGGCCCAGGAGGAGGGCAGCAGGGCAAGGATCAAGGAGCAGAGGCAGAGGGAAGGCTCAGATCCGAGGCCAGGACACCGCTGCGGGAGCCCTGTGAGGAGGCAGCTTCCTCAGAAAGATGAGGGAAGTCACAAGAGGTAAGTGCTCAGAACCCAGAGCTCAACACAGCACCTGGTCAGGATTCAGCACTGCCCTACACAATAGCCAACAGTTCCCTGTGGCTACTGCAGTTGAGTTTAAAGTTCATTTAAAATTCAGATAATTGAGGGGGCTGGAGGTATGGCTCAGCGGTTGAGAACACCAACCGTTTTTGCAGAAGACCCAGGTTCGAATCCCAGCACCCACATGGCAGCTAACAACTGTCCATAACTCCATTTCCAGGGGATCCGAGAGCCTCTTCTGCCCTCTGTGGGCATTGCACGACATGGGTACACTTACCTACATGCAGGTAATACATGCATACACATAAAATAAAAATAATAAATAAAAATTTTTAAAAATTCAGATAATTGAAAATTCAGTTCCAAGCAAGGTGAGATAGCACATGCCTGTAATCTCAGCCTTTAGGACACCAAGGCAGGAGGACTGTGAAATCAAGAACAATGCAGGCTGCACAGCAAGGCCCTGTCTCAAAAACAGATACATGAAGGAATAAAAATTTAGGTCCTCGGTCATCCTAGCCACATTTTGTGAACTCTTAACCACATGTGGCTAGTGATTGCCATGGCATCCTCCACTAGAGAAGGTTCTAGTAGACAGAATGGAGACTCCTGCACCATTTCTTTTAAGAAGGATGACTTGAATATATATATATATATATACACACACATATATGTATGTATATGTATATTCCAATATATATATTGGAGTGTAGTGAGGGCTGGGCCAGAGGAAGGAAGGAGCAAAGATAGGCAAGAAGGAAATTAGAATTAGAACAAGGCCTGGTGGATGTGGTGGCGCACACCTTAATCCCAGCATTTAGGAGGCAGAGGCAGGCGGATCTCTCTTGAGATCAAAGCAGCCTGGTCTACAAAGTGAGTTCCAGGACAGCTGGGCAACAGAGAGACCTTGTCTCCCAAAAAATGGAATAAGTTCCAAAAGGAGGGAGGGGGCAGACAGGAAGGAATGGAGTCTAGAAAAAACAGAGTGTGGGATATATGTGGGCTAAACTGGACAAGAAGAAGCTCTTGAACTTTCAGAACAAGAAAATAAAGGACGAGGGGAAGAAAAAATATTTGGAGACACTAAGGAGGGCACAGCAGGGATTTGCACTGAGGTGGGGGTAGTAAAGGAGAGCGTGGTCATCCTCCATCTTTCTGAAAGGGAATCACCCTGGAATGTAAGGACTAGAGAGCAGTGGCACAGCCGCTAAGTGGAAGCAGAGTTAAAAAAAAGATGGAGTCTTTTCTTTTGGAACACAAAACCTTTATGAAATTAGAGCCATCATGAATTTGCAACAGAACCAGTTTGAAGGTCCCTGTTACTTTCACCAGGATAGTTTTGCAAGCCAGAAGAAGAAAATGCAGATAATGAGGGTGATTTGGGGATTGGAGACTAGAATGGGAGATGTCAGCATGTCAAGGCCAAGGATTGCAGGTTCCACAGCTGGTAACCTGCAAGGGTGAAGTGGAGCTGCGGATGTGCTGAAGCATTGCAACCGCAGGGATGACAGGGCCAGTACCTAAGGATGCATCCAGACACAGGGCAGAAGGAACCCATCAAGGAGGCAGATGTCCAAGGCCTCGTTCTTAAAAGTGGAGTTCTCAGGACTCAGCACATGGAGGATGTGTGAGCTGAGCCATAGGTGTCAAAGTTGAGGAACTTCAAGGTCAGCAAATGGAACAGCCTCGATATAAACCCAAAGTCACCAGCAAGAGGCAAAGCAGAGATGAGAGGGACACTAGCTGCTCAAGAGTCTTTATGACTCTTTCACAGCCTCAAGCATAGAGGTTCCCCAGGCTCCTTGAACACCGCACACACCACCCAGTATGCACACCACCCAGCATGCACACCACCCAGCGTACACACCACTCAGTGAGCTCTGCTTTCTCCCTTCTTCCTCTCTCCCCGACAGTTCATCCAGTTCTTCTTTTTAAGTGTCTTTTTTTTTTTAACCAATTATTTGTCATGTACGTTTAGGGGTGGGGTGGGAAGTGCTGTGTACATGCCACTGTGTACATGTGAAGGTCAGGGGACAACTTGCAAGGAGTTAGTTCTCTTCCACCATGTGGGTTCAAGGGATTGAACTCAGATTGCCAGGCTTAGTAACAGGTGCCTTTACTCACTGAGCCATCTCACTGGCCCAAAGTTTGTTTCTTAAACAGGGATTTTTTATTTTTTTATTTTTTTTTTAGTCTCACCTTACCCTGATGATTCTCATTTGCCATATTTGAGAAAGTTTAAATTAGCCATGTTTTTCAAATTGTGCCAGGTGATTCTGTAGGGCCACCAGGCTTCAGAGGAACCAAGCAGAAACACAAGACGACTGGCCCTGGGGCTGAGCAGACAGTACTGCATTTGTTCTAAGAGACTTGAATGGTGATAGGTTGATGACTTAGAGACAACCCTAAGGAGCAAGGAGAAGGGCATCCCAGCTCTCTCCAGGAGAGCGCAGCAAGGAATGCTCTGAAGGAAGTTGTTTTGTTCAAAGCCTGGTGCAAGAAGAGAAAGAAATGGATTCAGGGACCAAAAAAAAAAAAAAAAAAAAACAGGCATATGGCTGCAGGATGCAAACAAGGAGGCAGTGAGTGGCAGAATAGACACTTGGGTTAGAGGCCGGCAGAGGCGGGAGAATGAATCATTTGCTGATGGAGGTTCCAAGGGCAAGGACACATAGTCCATTAAAGGGCTGTAGGCTCGGAGGCTGAATTCTTGGACAGTAAGGATTTTTCTATCTTTATGTTAATTAGATTTGTAACATGCAAACCATTCAAGAGTACTGAGACCTGAGGTAAAATAAGCTTGCAGACACTTATTAACTGAACACTCTGCTGCCCGTCCCACATTTTTACACAGATAAAATCACATTCCAGTGAACATTAGAGTATCCATGGAGCATGAAGTCAGAGACAGCTCTATGATCCTGGAACAGGAACACTGAGCGTTTCTCTTCCCTCATGGAGGAAGGGGAAGTTTATGGATGGAGAAGATGGAAAAGGGCCTCCCTGTCTATACCAGTGCTAAGAATAGATGTATATCTTACACACACGTGCAAATCTTAGGATAAAGAACATGTTTACCTTCAAATGCCTAACTTTTATTTTTTATTACAGTCATTTATTTAGTGTGTGTGCAACGGTGTGCCTGTGGAGGTCAGAGGACAACTTTCGGGAGTTAATTCTCGCCTTTCACCATGTGGATTCAAGGGGGCAAACTCAGGTCATCAAACTGTTGGCCACAAACACCTTCACCTGCTGAACCATCTCACCAGCCCCCCAACTACAAATGTTTGTCCCCTAACTTGAAGAAATTCTCCAGCAGATTCAAATCTGTCCAGCATTACTTCTGGTTATTCCTATGAAATAATCTCTAACACTGGCATGCAGACTTCAAGCTAGGTGCACACATGCGCACACGCAAACAAAACACACACACACACACACACACACACACACACACACACACACACACACACACACACACACACACACACACACACACACACACACACACACACTCAGAGCTCCTGAACATTGAAGAAATGACTCACTTAATTTGCGGCTGCCTGCCACTACTGGGTTTTTATTTTACCTGTACAAACACAAAGTTTCCTATTAGATCAACTACAGGAAAGAAGCACCCGAGCCTCCGCCCTGATTCTATTCACGACTTTAGAACACCGAAGGGATTTTAATCTGTGCGTTTTAACAAGCCACGCTGGACCAGCGCCTGTTCTCTCCATCATCTGCCGTAAAATGAGAGCATGTCTTGCCACTTCGGGAGCCAGTTCATTAGAAACCCCTTGCCAAATAAACAAGATTAAGTCTCACACGCGCAAGCCCCTGCTGAGACGTACTTGGGACCCTTCCTCACTCACAGGACAAGCCTAACAGCCTTATACAACTGGAAAGAGCCTTCCTTTCGAAGGTGAGAATCGGAGCCCGCAGCGGGGAAGCAGCATGTCTAACCCACCCAAGGTCACTCAGCTCTGGGTGATGGGATGACTGACTAGCCCCTATCCCTGGCAAACTCTGCACACCCTCAGCTCGCTCCAAAACAGTCCCTCGGGGGCCTCTGCCTGTCTGCAAGCATGCAGCCCCCGCGAAGATGCAATGCTACTTGTGCTCTGTGACCAACTTCAGCCCTGAGCGTCAGCATGCAGTTAATCCTCTGGGCCCCAGCATGTCACCGAGCCCCGCGCAGCTCGCCCTCGCCCCAACCGCACGCCCATTATTAAGTGCTTGCTCCAAGGTCACATCGATGGTCCCTACCATCCCTGCCGGAGCATCCTCTGCTTGGGAGAAAGCCCGCCCGGGAAGGCATCCCTCTGGGACTCACCCTCGCGGGGATCCGGCGCGCCGCGGCTGCCCATGTCTTCGCGGGCGGCTGGGTGCGGTGGTCGCTGGCGCCGGGCTGTGCGGGGCGAACCCGGCTGCGGGTCCGCGCGCCGCGGGGAGCGCCGTCCAATCAGCGCGCTCCTGCCGCCCGGCCCCGCGCGCGGCCCGGCCCCGGGTTCGTAGCTCCCCCCACCGCAGGGCGCGCGCAGCCTGGAGCCGCTTCCGGGCGCGTTGCCTGGACGCGGTTGCCGTGGCAGCCCGAGCTGGAGGCTTTCCCCGCGCACCCGCGCCCAGCCTGACGGCGCCCCTCCTCCCTCCTCGTTCCCACACCCGAAATAGCCTCCCTCGGCGCCGCTGCTTCCCACCCAGCCCGCAGCCAGCAGTTGGCGGGTGGGGATTTCGCTTATTGGATAATCAGCCCTGTTGTTGGAAGGGCTGACCTGGACGCGGTGCCAAAGGATGCCTACTGAGGTCCTGGCCATCCTGGTACAGCGCCGTCCGTCACCCTTCCCAAGATCTTAGCATCCCTTGGGTACTAAGCCTGCTTCCCATGGAAAGAGTTATGTGCCCTCCCCACCTCAAACTGGGGAGAAGTTATGCGATCCGACCGCCTTCAGGAAAACAGCCGGTGCCGACGCCCCACCTGCGCAGGTGAAGGGACCTCGGGTCGTCAAGTGGCTCTGCAGAAATGACAGTGCCAAACGGATCCGGGACCCGGGACAGAGGACCGCGTCTCACCGGGCGACACACTAGGAAGAACGCTTTCCTTCCCAGTCCCTCCTTCCACCCTCCCTCTGCCTTGCTCACAGAGTCTTAACTCCTCCCCCCCCCCCCGTCGATGTTGGATTCTCAGCAGGACGTAGACACCGATCCACTCACGACGTTGCTTCCTCTCCGTGGGCGAGGTTTGAGCGGAGAGGGAGATCCCACCTTTGCCCGCCTCACTGTGTCTGGTTCAGAGCTCTTGCGTAGAGACTCGCGCTTACCAGTGCAGGTGCTCCTGTCTGGCTCCCCACCCACCTGAGCCCCGCAGTCCAGGGGAAGCTGGAAAGAACGTGGGCTGTGGAATCACTCAGACCTGTCTTGGAATCCTCGCTCCCGCAGTCGTGTGTGTGTGTGTGTGTGTGTGTGTGTGTGTGTGTGTTCTTTGGTGTTCTGCAGTTTCCTCGCCTGTAAAGTAATAACTACCACACACACAAGGATAATTTATTGAATACCTGCCAAGTACCAGAAACTACACTTAGCTCTAAGACACAATGGAGAAGATGAAGATGGAGGAGGAAGGGGAGGAGAGACGGAGAGTGCATCCTGACACACATTGACCAAATACTCAGACAGGAGTGAAACCGCCATGGGCACCAGAAGGATCATAGCCTTGAGTCCTGTCCTGTGGAAATCTGACCTAACATCATTCCTTTAGCGTGATGATTATTTTTTCCATATCACCTGGTGGGTGATATGCACTCTGTAAATACATACTGAATGGAATCTTCTGGCAGATGAATCACAGTATCACTGTTTCCTGGGGACCTTCCACCATTTAAAATATATATGTGGGAGATAAGGTGATGGCTCAGTCTATAAAGTGTTTGCTTTGTAAGCATGGGTGCCTGTTCCCATCTGTTCCCCAGAACCGACACCACACACACACACACACACACACACACACACCACTCCACACCACACCACACCACACCACATAGCCAGACATGATGGTTGGTATGCATTTGTAATCCCAGGGCTGGGGAGGTGCAGACAGGCACACTGGGACTCACTGGTCAGCCAGCCTAGCTTACTTGGTGAGGTCTAGGCCAAGGAGAGACCATCTAAAAGAGATAGGTCTGATGAACACTTGAGGTCCACATGCACTTGCACACTCTTGCATGCACCCCCACACAGACACACAACACACACACACACATATTTGAAGCACATTACTCATCACATGTCTGGAAGGATGAGGGTGTTACCATAAGTCACTCATTCAAACCCAGAGCCCATCATGATGAATCCAGAGATGGGCTCAAAATGCTTCACCTGTTCCCTCAGATTACTTTCCCAGGAAAGTGTGCCTCTCTGGTGCACACATGATAGTCCTGTCCATCTCATTTCCCCTCCCTCCTTCCCACTCCACCCCTGCCCTACTACTGCTCTTTCCTGCCAGACCCTCGTAGTCAAGGCTTCAAGATTCCCACTCTTGAATTCTAAGGAGAAAACACTGGGCCCTTACATTCCTGAAGCGAAACCCCATAGAACAGGAAACTTGCAGCTTCTGATGACCCTCAAAGCACAGTTTTATTTACCACAAGCTCCCCTCCACACTCCAGGGTAAGGAAGAGGAATTCCTGCAAAATGGGAGGCTCTAGCATGCATACACCCCTCTATTTAGGCTGGCATTAATTTCCTTATTAAAAGTCTACCAATTAACATAAAATACCAAATTTTAAAATATTCATTTGTTAAGCATGGTGGCACATGCCTACAATTGCAGCAGTCAAGAGTCTTAAGTAAGAGACCACAAATTCAAGGTCAGTCTGGGCTACACAGTGATTTTTAGACCTTGTCTAACAATCAATCAATCAATCAATAATAAATAAATAAAAACTTTTCATTTAATTTTTTTTCAAAACCTTGAGGCAAAACTTTGCCTCAATACCAGTCCTGACATTTCAAAACAGTCTCAAATTGGGCCTTCTACTTCCCACTTCTGACCTCCTTTTTTTTTTAAGGCCATTTGTTTTGAATCCTAAGAGGATAACATTTAATACACAGTGATTTAAACATGCCCTAGTCTCTTTCCATCCTTCTACCCCTGAAGATAAACTACAATCAAGTGCCCTTTTTTCTAGAGTTGCTTTTATTGTAACTCATTACAGGAAACGGATTTTTTTTTCAAACCACAATTTATCCAGAATTATTTTATGCTAGCAGAGGTTGCTAAAAGTAGTTTGTCAAAGGAGCCAATCCTGGGAACTGCTGAGATGGCTCAATGGGTAAAGGCACTTGCCCCCAAGCCTAAAGACCTGAGTTCAAACCCCAGGACTCGTGTCGGGTGGTGGAAGGAGACAAACAATTCTCAAAAGCTGTCCTCCAACCTCCATGTGTACACTGTGGCATATGTACATATGTTCAAATGTGTGTGCACATACATACACAAAATAAGTAAATGTATTTTTTAAACATTTTATTATTTTCATTTTATGTATATGCATGTATTGCCTGAATGTAGGTAAGTACACCCATGTTGTGCAGTGCCCGTGGAGGTCAGAAGAGGCCTTCAGATCCTCTGGAACTGGAGTTATGGACAGTTGCCAGCTGCCATGTAGGTGCTGGGATTTGAACCCAGGTCTTCTGTAAGAACAGTCAGTGTTCTTTAACCACTGGGCCATCTTTCCAGCCCAAGTAAATGGTTTTTTGTTTTGTTTTGTTTTGTTTTGTTTTAATTTAGGGCTGGTGAGATGGCTCCAAAGGTAAAAGCACTTGCCTCCCAGCCTGGCAACCTGAGTTTGATCCCTACGACCCACATGGTGGGAGGAGAAAATTGAGTACCAAAAGCTGTCTTTGGACCAGCTGGCCTGGAACTCACTATGTAGATGAGGGTGGCCTCAAACTCGCAGAGATCTGCCTGCCTCTGCCTCCGGAGTGCTGGGCTTAAATACGCACACCACCATGCCCAACTTCTTTTTCATTTTTTAAATCTCACATCTCACAATTAAGGAATTCTCTTTTATTCCTCTTTTATATGTAAACATAATGGATTTTAACTTTTGAATATACTACAACTGAGTAGTTATTTTGCTAATGATTTCCTTTCATGTGGAAGCTAATTAACTCTATCAAACTTATGTTTTATGTATGCATTTGTTGGTATCTAGTCATCTCACAAGGATTTTTTTAAAGCAACAACTGAAGCACCAGCAGCCAAGAAAGCATAAAATATTGAGAAGATCCTTCCATGGGGTATTTATGTCTTAACTTACATAATTGCTGGTGTACAAAAGAGGGCAGATTCAGCCTCAGGGTGTGTTTAAATAACACATAACTGAGACTTAAGATAGCATAATATGACTTACTATTGAGACAGAGACTTCTCCCCTGGAGTTTGTGGCCAGAAATTCTAAAATAAGTCCACAAAAAAATGGACTCATCCTAAATTCAATTCCGTATCAAGGAAGTGCTATAAAAATTTCCATTGTACACCAATTTTGGAAAATCTTTTTCCTCCCTCCAATAGCTTTCAGAAAACTACCATCTGAACTGACAGTCTCTAAATTCTGATGGTTTGATACTGCATCAGCTCAATCCAGTCTGGTGATGTGCTGTTCATGGACCAGTCATGTGTTCCAGTCTAGGCAATGAGGTCTCACACAGTCTGTCACTTTTGTTTTGGCTGTTTTTCCAAGATGTGCATCAGTGGACAGTGATATTCATATGTAGGAAAACTGGGAGACAGCATTAACTTCTGCTCAATAACAAAAAGGAATGATAAGCTGAGGGGTAGCTCAGTTGGTAGAATGTTTGCCTTAGTGAGCATGAAGACCTGGGTTCCATCCCCAGCACTATATACTTGAGGCATCATGGCATATGCCTATAATCCCAGAACCTGGGAGGTGGAAGCAGGAGGATCAGGAGTTCAAAGTCATCCTCAGCTATATAGGGAATTCAAGAATCAGTCTTGGTATTGGAGATCTTGTCTCAAAAGAAAGTTGCATTCTTGCCAACAAAAGGCATATGGAGGAATGCACTTTATAAAAATCTTTTTTATTTCTTTATTTTTATGTTATGTATATAAGTATTTTGCCTGCATGTAAGTGCGCCACATGTGCACAATACCCATGAATGCCAGAAAAGGGCATCAGATCCCCTAGAACTGGAGTTATGGACAGTTGTTAGCTGTCGTATGGGTGCTAGAAACCAAACCTAGGTCCTCTGGAAGAGTAGCCTGTGCTCTTAGTCACTGAGTTATCTCTACAGTCCCTTTATAAAAATCTTAATAGGGCTAGCTAGGGGTATAAGTCAATATTAGAGCCTAATGTGTGCACAGCAATGGGTGCAATCTCCAGTAAAAAACAGACAAATAGGTCGCGGAGGAGAGAGAGAGAATAGAATCATAGACAATACCAGCTAGTCATGGTGACACAAGCCTGTGATCCCAGCAC